CCACTGTGTCCCACCACCTCTCTACAAAATCAGATGTTAAAGATGCTGCTTCCCTCTGCTGTGTATGTTACAGGTGTGGAAAATGTTGCAAACAGGAAGGCTCTACCGTGGAAATTGGCAAATTCTGTGAGACTCCATTAATATAATGGGATTGTTTTGTACTACACTTGATGTTAGCCAAAAGGCCGAGAAGCAATAATGGCATTGTTTTGTAACACATGAATTAGAAACTGCGCATGAATAATAGATTTTATCAACTGTTTCGCTGAACTGAAGGCCTTCCAGGAGAACGTTTTGCAAATTTCATTTCAGAACAACTAAAATGACATCATTTCCAGAACAGTTTGCTCTGTGCATTGGGAACAAAACCACACACAGAAAAGGGACTCTCTTAAGAGTGTGGACATTTTCAGAAAATAGTCACGAAAGTGTAATCAAAATTGCATTTTATATTGCTACTTCCTGACATAATCTGGAATGAATGTGTCTAAGCAACCCACTTCCTGTTCAGTGAGTTACAAGTCATCTAATGTCACAACAAACTCAACGAAAAACCAGTTTTTTGTTACAAGAGGAAACAGTTCCATTTAAATTCATTCCCCACTGCTAACCCTTTCAGTGTGTTCTGAAATAAAATGTCACTCCTTCCTTGAGCTCAACAGTCTCTGCTGGCAACTCTTTGAGATATCTCTAGGTCCATTCTTACTGGTTCCAGCTACAGGCATTAGGTAGCCACATACACCATCTCTTTTTTTTCTTTTTTTGAGACAGAGTCTCGCTCTTTTGCCTAGGCTGGAATGCAGTGGCGCGATCTTGGCCCATTGCAACCTCAGCCTCCTGAGTTCAAGCGATTCTTCTTCCTCAGCCTCCCAAGTAGCTTGGACTACAGGCGCTCACCACCACATCTGGCTAATTTTTGTATTTTAGTAGAGACGGGGTTTCGCCATGTTGGCCAGGCTGGTCTCGAACTCCTGGCCTCAAGAGATCTGCCCTCCTCGGTCTTCCAGAGTGCTGGGATTACAGGCGTGAACCACCACATCTGGCCCACGTATACCATCTTTAGCATAGGATTTCTTTGGCATAAAAAACTTGACTGGCATTTTGTAGATCATAGAAACTGAATCTGTCTGTCGTGACCAGAAACCTTTCAGGCAGGCTGCTTTCCTTCTCGGGTGCTCATAAGTGCTTGTACTATCTCCAAAATGTCTCTGGTCCTAGGAAAACCTGGGGCTGTGTTGGGAAAATAAAGGAGAAGACAGATGGAGAAAACTTCTTTAGTCCAGAAACAATAGACTGGCATGGTTTTCCTCGCTTGGCATGAGCATCTCAGACAGACTTTCCAGCGTCTGCGGCCTTGGCCACTGTGTAGTAAGCTACCCATGTAGTAGGCACCAGAGGAGGCAATGTCTTGCAAGCCAGGGAATCCCTTTCTCTGCAGGTCCATAGCCTGGGTCAGGTGGTATTACCAGAAGGAACCAGGAATTTTTTTTTTTTAGACACAGAGTCTCGCTCTGTCACCCAGGTTGGAATGCAGTGGCGCGATCTCAGCTCACTGGAACCTCTGCCTCCCAGGCTCAAGTGATTCTTATATCTCAGCCTTCAGAGTAGCTAGGATTACAGGCACGTGCCACCATGCACAGCTAATTTTTGTATCCTTAATAGAAATGGGATTTCACCATGTTGGCCGGGATGGTCTTGAACTCCTGGTCTCAAGTGATCCGCCCATCTCCGCTTCCCAAATTACTGGGATTACAGGTGTGAGCCATCGAGCCCGACTGGAACCAGGAGTTTAACTCACTCTCTGGTAATTGTGGTTCACAGTCTGGAGACCTTCTGGAAAGAACCTGGAGACAGGTTCCTTGCATAAAGTTTTTAAGTCAAGCAAAGGGGGAGGCTCTAAGGCTTTTCTCTGGATTCTTCCATTTGTATGCGGCCTAGAACTCAGGCCTGTCTCAGAGATGGCTCTTTCTTCTCTGTGTATGTATTGATGGCAGGATTTGGGGTTGGGAAAGACATCCCTCCAGGAGATCTCTAAAATCACCCTCAAGATTCTGTTCCTGCTTTTTCTTCATCATTTAAACCTGGAAACCTGCCAGTCCTGATAAGGTAATATGAATGCAACAAATGTATTACCTTTGTTTTATATGTCAGAATTAATTTGTTTTCTCAATGCCCCTTTCTCAATTTTGCCTACATTGCCTCATTCTCAGACCTTTTTATTCCTCTTTCTAACCCAGAAAGATACTTGAACTTGAGAAGGAAGAGGGAATCTTCCAAACTTTATATACTGTATACATAATTTGTATATAAACAATTACTTCTTAAAAGAGATTACCTGTGGAATTACTCTAACCGCTTACTTGATACGTTTTTATATATTGAATTTTTGTTTTCTTTTTTGAGAAAGAGTCTAGCTCTGTCACCTAGGATAGAGTGCAGTGGCGTGATCTCGGCTCACTGCAACCTCCGCCTCCCAGGTTCAAGTGATTATCCGGCCTCAGCCTCCCAAGTAGCTGGGATTGCAGGTGTGTGCTACCACGCCCGGCTAGTTTTTGTATTTTTAGTAAAGACAGGGTTTCACCATGTTGGCTAGGCTGGTCTTGAACTCCTGACCTCAGGTGAATCTTTTTTTAAGAGAAAGGGCCTTGCTATGTTGCCCAGGCTGCTGATCTTAACCTCCTGGGCTCAAGTGATCCTCCTGCCTCAGCCTCCTGAATAGCTGAGACTACAGGCACCTGCCACTGTACCCAGCTATATACTGAATTTAATATACAATATATAATTTTCATTACCTGTTAACTTGAGGGTGAGGAGTGGCACCATAATTACATCACCTTTTGATAGCTGGTGAGACAAAATGCAAATCAAGAAGCTTTTGAATACATACAAAAAGCACTTTTAAGTAGGACCAGGTTGATTTCTCCCAACCCCAATTGGGAGGAAGGTTCCTGCCAACTGAGCTTAACTTAGTAGTCATGAACTCCAGACAACTGTCAGGCTGAATGGCATCTTTAAGAGAAGTCAGGAATCTTTTCATCATCAACTTTTGTTGTTGTTGTTGTTGTTGTTGTTGTTGTTGTTGTTTTTGAGATGTAATCTCGCTCTGTTGCCCAGGCTGGAGTGCAGTGGGGCTAGGTCAGCTCACTGCAAGCTCCGCCTCCTGGGTTCACACCATTCCCCTGCCTCAGCCTGCTGAGTAGCTGGG